TTTTTTGGCTTCAGCTCCTTCACCAGTGCCTGTATCTCGGCCAAGGTGACAGGGCGAAACATGGGGCTCATCTCAGAGGGCCTAACCTGCTCATTAAGCTCATCCTCAATGTCCCGTCTCTCCGCTTCCGTGTTATTGAGCAGCGGCTTGAACCTCTGCTCAAGGTGCAGGGCAAACGACTCTGCCTTCTCCTCTGTGGTCTTGCACCACGGGTCCTCGTCTTCCTCCTCCTCTCCGTCCTCAACGAACCGCCTCACAGGCAGATTTGCAGGGGGCTGTCTTTTCAGCCCATTGGTCAGCCTCCACAGTTTCTGCATACTGTATCGGTCCGTGGGATCGATAGCAGCCAGCTGAGTGTCGACTCGCCTCGCCTTTGCAGCCTCAATCTCCTTGTGGATCCTATTGGCCAAAGCATTATGCAGCTGTTGCGCTGCCGGGTCGCGTCTTCTCCTCAATAGATTCCTCAAACGCCTCTTGGTGTCGATCATCAGGCGGACACGATTCGTCAAGGGCACCTCTGCCTGCAATCTGGGTCGGACGGGCCTCATCAGATTGCTCCTAGCAAGCTCAGCTGCTCTGATAATGTTCTTCTGCAGCATCTCTGCAGCATCATCAACATCCTCAGCCGATCTTAACTCAGTGTTAAGGTGAATGTGCGAGTCTAGCCAAGACTGGAACATCGACACATTTGAGCCTGCCGGCAGCAGGCGCCCCCTCGCAACCATCTCCGCTGGAGACTCGCGCAACTCGATGACCATGGGCAAATGGTCAGAGGACAGCTCATTATGCTCGCGTATACTGACCAAGTCGTCTCGGATTCCCTTATAGACAGCGAAATCGATCGCTGAGGGGGAGTGGCTGGTGTTGTAGGGAAAATGCGTTGACGAGCCAGTAGCCAGGATGTTGCAACTACTTCTCTGAATGGACCTGAGCAAGGTACCACCTCTCTTGCATGCCCTACGATTTCCCCACCATGCATTCTTGGCATTCCAATCGCCAGCAGCAACGAAATGTCCTCCGAGTTGGCCAAATATGTCCGAGAACCCCTCTTCCGTCCAATCCTGCTGCGGTGGGCAGTAAATGGACCATATGCTGACGCGCATGCTACCTTGCAACGTCACGTGAACACCAGCAGCCTGGATGTGTTCCGTGGAAATGCAAGGCAGCGACATATGGGGGATATTTGACCTGATTAATAAAAGCGCACCTCCGCGACTTGACCCAGATGGATGGTGAGTAGTGTATGTGCAGTATCCGTGAACGCAGAAGGTCTCTGAGTTTTTAAAATGAGACTCAGAGACCATCATAACGTCCACTTCGTGCCTGCACATATATTGCTCGAGCTCCGCAGTCTTCCCACGTAGTCCAGAGGCGTTCCAGAAAACGATTTTAATGCGTACCTCGCTGATCCGACCGACGCCGATGTGACGAGGAGAATTAACGGTGAGTACACTACACATTTCGGACCAAAGTATTGGCCTGAACTGTGGCGAGCAAACATTCCGTCAATTTAGTCATTTGTTCCACCAACTGATCCATTTTTCTTTCCAGTCTCTGAGAAGCTTCTGTCGCCGCTGGCTGAACCCGCTCCTGGGTTAGCAAGCTGATGAGAACGTCCAACTTATGACTCAACTCGTCAGAGTGGACCGACTGATTGCCCAGCCCAGGGCGTGGGACAGCTTCAGCAGCAGAAAATCCGCCATACATTGGTGCACTTTGCCACACCTGCTGCCTGCCAGGCAGAGGCTGTGAGGAGGTCTGAGGCTGTGCATTTCGCACTGCCGACGCGTAGCTTCCCTGAGGCACTGCTGGTGCAGGAACCCTAGCAGCTGGGCGCACACGACGACGACCTGGCTGCTGCAGCTCTGGAAAGCCCTGCTGGTCCACTATGGGTGGCTGGCGGGGGCGTCGCATACCCATTGCGGCGGGTAAGGTAGGCATTTTCAACTTTGTCAACATGTTATTGGTTTTTATTAACCCATTTTCTCTTTTTTTGCAGTAATCTTTGTACGTGGCGCAGCCACGATAGTTGGCCACATGGGCACCTCCACAATTTGCACACTTGGGTGTCTCCTCGCGCCTCTTCGGGCAGTCCTTGGGCTCATGCTTGTCCCCACACTTCACGCAAATCACTGCACGGCTGCAGTAGTTCTTCGTGTGCCCAAACATTTGGCACTTGTGGCACTGCGGGACTCCTGGAGATCGAATTGGCTTCTCAATCTTCACTCGCTGGCTGCAAATAGCGGATACATCAAATATTGACTGATTGTTGGCTTGGGGTTCCAACTCTACTTCAAACAAGTCCAAGGGCTCCTTTGTGAACCGCTTATATATATTTGATATGTGCCTGACCACATGACCCATAGTTTTAAGCTGTTCGCACACCCAGGCTGTGGGTGTCGAACGATGTAGGTGGCGTATTACAACGCGCAGACCCTTCTCGCTCCTCAAGCGAAAAGTGTGGAATTCAACCCCCTGTCCGTCTGAGTCCTTAGCGCTAAGCATATGAACCAGCTTTCTGTAGCCCTCGACTGTGTGGCAAGCCACTTTCAGGCAGCCATTTGCAGTGGGCCTCGTATCATACGTTCCCACGCCAATGGCTGCATCAATTCCCTGCAGCAAGGGAACAATTTCCCTGACATTGGGAATGAAAATGGGGGCTGGCCGCACTGTTTTGGCGTCAGCAGCAGAATTAGGATTACGATTTGTAGCATTGGCATTTTGGCCAACACTGCCATCTCGCACAGGGGCAGTTCCGGCGGCTGCAGAGGGCCTATTGCTGGGGACTGGTACCTCCAGCTCCGAATCTCCCACGCTGCAGTCATCCATAGCCATGGATTCGTTGTCCGAAAGAATCTCGAAGTAATTGCTGCTAGTACTGGGGGTCGAGTCAGCATTCGCCTTTGACCGGGTCCTATATGTCGCCTTGACTTTGGCCGCTTTCTTAGCGGTTGGCTTCAATATGGCTGATCCCTGGGTAGCCGTACGCTTCCCCTTTCTGGCCTCACTCTCTCCACGCAGTTTGGCGCTGAGCTGCAGCTCCACTGCGTTTTTCAGCTGCTGCTCCTTAAGCAGCTCTGTGAGGGTAGCCTGTCTTAGACCTCTAGTGCTCACACAAGACACAGCTGCAGCGCCAGCAGAATTAATGATATTAATTGCCGCAGGGGCAGCGGGGGGGGGCATACGCAAAGCAGCAGCGGCTGCTGATGTAGTCGGCATATCGCTAGTTAGGTCCTGCATAGAGGCAGACCTGCGGATCATCGAATGCACGGACGGTGTATTTGCCGCTACTTGCGGGGCATTTTGTCCCACACCGGAGAGCAAGGCTCGATCGACGGCGCAGGGAGAAGAACACATATTATTAACAACACTACCTTCAATGTCTGAAGAGTTTGCGTCAGAGGCAGCGTAAGACGTCCTCTTTGATTTAGGGCCAGGCTTCCGTCCCATTTTTAGTCATCCGTCCTCCGCTATATTAGCACGTCACACAAGGGGGGGGGGCAGCAGCGGCTGCAGCCTTCCCCACGTTTCTCCTTGGAGCACTTTGGTTATGTAGAATTTCTCGATTTGTTTCCAATTCGGCACAACACACTGTATTGCCCGAATAATTAAAAGAAAACTTTACACAGTGTAAATACACTTGTGTAATATTCTAATTTACACTTATTAATTGTTTTAGAATTAATTTGTTTTGGAGTCGTTTTTTTTTTGTCAAACCGTACGCTTGGAGTCGCAATACGTAATGACTTAACGTAACGCAGACCAGCTCCATCCTTGACCTGAACCAGCAGGTTCAGGGGAGCCAGTCTACGTCACGTTAAGGAAGATTTTATTGTTATGCAATACTAAACTAAGTATTATCAACAATTTTTTGGGGCTGCTATTCTAATTATAACTATTGCATGCAGCCACCTGCTGACCACAGTTTTGCAGCCATAGGCAGCGCATACTCCACTTTCGGCAGCGGGAATCTCCTCTGCCAGCGTCTCAGCCGGCGCATTCATCCCAGGTGAACAAACCCTCGGCCCCGTCAGCAGTCCACTAAACGGGGGAGGGGAGTAGGGAATAACTTAAGTATAAGTGGTCAAAAACTTTAGAATTATACATATGTGGGTAATATAATCTTAATAATAGGAATTTATAGTAGTATATATGTAGATAGAATAATTAGTTTTAAATAGAAATATAGGCTGCCAAGCAGCGAAGGGAAATTGTATATACAAGTATTAACATAAGTAGAGATAGTTTCTTGTTTCCTATATTCATATTTCGCATTCCATGTTTTTTCTTCCTTCTTGCGCTTCTTGCGCCCTTTGTTTACATTAATTTTGCTCTATTTTTTTTCAGCAAACTTGTTGCGGTTCATTTGTGTTGCCGGGGAATATTATTATTAAATTAAACTTGGCGTGACACGGTGTTGGGGCCTGGACCAGACTCTAATGAGGACCATCAGCAACAAGGAATTACAACAAGCTACTACGAATAAGGAGGAAAAAGGAGACAGTTAAATTGCCCGCAAAAGGCTATGCCTATCGATAAGTTGGCTTTGCATAGCTGGAAAAATGTATTTAAATTCAATTGCTTTGGCGGTATTGCGGACTTCGTGTGTTGTTCGACCCCTTCCTTACCCTTGCCACCTGCTGAGGGCAGGTGACTAGGGATGCAGCATAGTGGGTGGGGGGGGCAGAATAAAAGGGACAATTACTGGAAAATGCAACAACACAAAAACATATTTGGCACTAATATGGGACAAAAACAGTACAGAAAAATTCCACATATTAGGCCGTAACGGCTGGCGGCAATTTGCCTGCCAAAGTCCGAAATATATATTTTTTCAGACAATGGCAGGCAAACTGCCGCGCAATACAAATTTGCCAACAAATATTGGCAGTTTTTAATGGCAAGTGCAAACAGAGTAATTCACTCTTAAATTTGATTTCGATTTTCTTCCAGGGCTGGCGTAAGCCCTCTTTGAACAAGGGCTAATTGCAAGGTGTGTACAAGGACAAGGTGGGTACATATCTAAATGGTTTACATTCACAATAAGCCGCGTTCCGCACAGCGAAAACACTTTGTCAGGTAAGTAATGGTATTTAAATATAAAACAAGATTATAAATGGACTGCACGGCTTGGAGTGGACAGAAAAGGTAAGTACACGTAATGGAAACACAAGCGCATGCAAATGGACAGTATTGGGGACAACTACTATTTACAGAAACTACAATAGCAAAATTACACACATACAACAGAGTGCAAAACAAGACAATACAGATATAAAACTGAGCTACATTTAACAAGACATTAAACGTGACAATTTAAATAACAAATACAGTCAAGTTACTATTACATGTGATATAATTCTAATTATAATTATCTTAATTAACTATTTTCAGAGGAGACGGACAACAACAAAGCATCGGCCGGCATAACAAACAAACTTATGTTTGTACACAATGCACATATGGGCATTGTGTTGCATGCCGGCCAACTCTGCCGTCCCCCCCCCCTGGTCGTCATAAATGGATGGAATCACCCGCAAGTGTAATGGAAGGTAAGTAAATATAATATTTTGCGGATGATTCTTACTAACTAATTTTATTTCTAGTGCCGTCGTCAGAGTGGATTTTGCTGTTGCTGCTGCTGCTGCTGCTGCTGATGATGGATTCTGGCTGCTGTAGATGGCTGATTCTGCTGGCTGCTGGTAATGGCTGCCCCTACAGGGGGCACCAGTGGCGCTGGTCCGGCCACCGGCCAGTCTCGGCGTGGATACACACTCGCACACATTTGCAACCGCAGCGACTCAGGTCCGGCCGCCTAGATGGTGCTCGAATTGGCGTGTGTGTGTGTGTGTGTGTGTGTATTTGGTGTGCCTTTGGACGGACCGTCCAAAATTGTCTCACTTGACCATGATACAGCGGCTCTGGTCCGGCCGCCTACAGGTAAGTGTGTGTATGTGTTGTTTAATGTGTTTTCTTTACAGGTTTTCTGCTGGGGCTGCGTCGTCGAGATATGGCTGACCACGCCATCAACCAATACACTCTCCATGGACCAGAGGAGTGTATTGAATTGGAGAGGATGATGGCGTGTGGATTTGCAGTGGGCGTGGCATGTTTGCGCGCCCATTGTCAAGCACACGACAGTCAACAAGCGGCTGCTGGTCCGGCCGCCTGTAAATAAGTGCGTGTTTTTGTAGTTTGTTGATTTTTGCATCTATTTTCTTTTAATTTATATTTATTTATTCCAGATTTGGATGCTGATTGCTGGTTGATGAGTATGTGTATTTGTTGTTTTATGTTTTTATTTATTACTTTTTTAATTGATCCTCTTTTATTTCAGGTTTTTCTGCAGAGGAAACGGACGTCCGTATTTTCATCCAGCGCACTCTCCTTGGACCAGTGGGGAGTGTCTCGGCTTGGAGAGGATGTAGGCGTAGAGATTGCGGAGTGTGTGTATTTGTTAACAATTGTTTTAATTATTATTTTTATATTGTAGATTGTCTGCAATGGCTGCGTCGTCGATCTGTGTCCACTCACACCAAAATCCACCCTTAACCAGAAGAAAGTCCACGCTTGAGGATGAAGGCGTCAAGATTTGTAGGGGGTGTGGCATGTTGGCGCGCGCCCCGTGTCCAGCACACGACAGGCAGCAAGCGGCTGCTGATCCGGCCACCTGTATGTAAGTGCGTGTTTTTGTTATTTGTTGATGTTTGCATCTTCTTTTAATTGCTGTATTTTATTTCAGATTTCTGATTTCTCTGCAGAGGCTACGTCGTCGATGTGAGTTTGGATTCTGTTGCTGCTGCTGGTTGCCCACCTGGGGGCACCATATGATCGTCGGTGAGGCAGCTGCTTCGCAAATTTGAATTGGATGCTGTTGCTGCTGCTGGTTGCCGGCCGCTTTTATTTCAGGGATCTCTGCCGAGGCTACGTCGTCGATGGATGTGGGCCACGCCATCTACTAGTACACTCTCCATGGACCAGAGGAGTGTTTTTGATTGGAGCGGATGAGCGGCGTGCGGATTTGCGGGGGGCGTGGCATGGTAAGGCGGCCCGAGTCCATCCCTAGACTAGGTGCAAACGGCTGCTGGTCCGGCCGCCTGCAGGTAAGTGTGTGTATTTGCTGTTTTATATTTTTGTACATTACTTTAATTGTTTCTTTTTTTTTAATTTCAGATTTGCAGCAGGGGCTGCGTCGTCGATTGATGGCTGCTCTCGGCATCATCCAAAGCACTTTCCTTGCACCAGAAGGATGTGTTTGGCCATTGGGAGGATGAAGGCGATGAAGGCGAGAATATTGCGGAGGGCGTGGCATATTTGCGCGCCCCGAGTCCAACACTAGGCCAAATTCAAGCGGCTTCTGGTCCGGCCGCCTGCAGATGAGTGTTTTTGTTCATTTTTTGTTTGTATATTTTCTTTTAATTGATCCTCTTTATTTTCAGATTTCACTGCAGAGGCTGCGTCGTCGCTAAGGATTGGATGCTATTGCTGCTGCTGGTTGCCAACCGCCTGCAGGTAAGTGGGATTATTTGTTGATTTATGTTTTTTCTTATTGTTTTAATTATTTCTTTTTAATTCCAGATTTGCAGCAGGAGCTGCATCGTCGATTAATGGCATCCAAATCACGTTCCTTGCACCAGCAGGATGTGTATTTGGCTTGGAGATGGTGAAGGCGTGGAAATTTGCGGAGGGCGTGGCATTTTTTGGACGCCCGTGTCGACACTCGACCATAAACAAACGGCTTCTGGTCCGGCCGCCTGCAGATGAGTGTTTTGATGGATTATTGTTTTAATTTTTTTTTGGTTTTAATTGCTCTTTTTTTATATTGTAGATTGTCTGTAGTGGCTGCTTCGTCAATTTGTGGATGCACACGCTTTCATCCTACCTCTCTCCTTGGACCAGGAGGAGAGTGTGAAATTGAAGAATATGATTGCGTGGGGCAGGGCTGCTACTGCAGTTATTGGCTGCCCTCTTAGGAGAACCATTTGGCAATGTTTTGGTCACTTCCTGGCGTTCATTGGGCCCAAGGGTGAGTAAATTTGTGTGTGATTTTATGGGCTATTAATTATGTGTTCATTTTGTAGGTCAGTCCAAAATTGATGTGGCTGGAGTGTGGACAGCTGGCTCCTCAGTTGTACCCCTCCCATGACACTAGGTTGTCAAGCTGGTACCTCAGGTTCCGGCGGTACGCTTCAACGTGGTTTAAGGAGTCATCTGTCCACATTTCGTCCCCGTCATCTTCCATCTCATCGCTTTCTGGCTCTGGTTCTGGTGCAGGGTCGAAGATGTAGGTGCGCGGCGGCACCTGTTCCTCGCTTGAACGCTGCAATGGATGAGGAGAGGATATTCCCCTCACAGGTTCCGGTGTCGCTGGAGACTCTGATGTTATTGCTGCTGCATATGATTGTGGTGGCGCTGCTGTTGCAGCTGCTGGTGCTAATGCTGCTTCTGCTGGCGGAGTCTGGAGATGAATTAGTCGGGTGAGTACGTTCAATACTTCCTCCATTCGAGACTCTAATTTCTCCAATCTTTTTGCGCTCTCTGCTAACGCCTGGCTGCATGATCTATGGGGCTGAATTGGCTCGGATTGGCGTTGGTGCTGCTGTAACTGACGTCTGGAGAATGGATTGGCGGCCTGCTGCTGCTGCTGTTGCTGTTGCCGGCCCTGGCGCTGCGTCTGATGTGGCTGCTGCTGCTGATGCAGATGGCGTTGTCGTCGTCTGTCAGCTGGAGTAGCTGGCGTCTGAATTGGCGTTTGGGCTGGCGTGTTTAGTGGCTGCTGCTGCTGTCGTCGTCTGAGCCTGGGATCGGCTGGCGTCAATATTGGCTGCTGCTGCTGCTGCTGTTGGCGTCTGCGAGGATTGGCTGGCGTCTGGACTTGCTGCTGCTGCTGCTGCCGTCGCATTGGAATTGCTGTTGCTGATGGCTGTTGGAGTTGCTGCTGCTGCCATTGCTGCTGCTTGTGTTGCACAAGCACGTCGTTTTTGCGTCGCAACTCCTGATTCGTCACCCTGTGAGACAGGAGACGGCCCCTGGCTGCCTTAAAGGCTGGGCATCCCTTGTAGGCGCTGATGTGGCTGCCCTGGCAATTGGCACATTTTGGAGCCTCGGACCGAGGCTTGGCGCAGCTGGTGGTCATGTGCGCGCCCGCACATTTCATGCAAACGAAGGCGCGTCTGCAATATGTGCGGGTGTGTCCAAATGCCTGGCATCGGTGGCATTGTGCGGGATCAACTGGCTTGGCCTGCCTCACCACGGAGACCGACTGATTGCCTAAAGTGGTCAGCTGGAGGATGTCAAGATGGCTGCTGTCCGATTTGGGGGCTACTTCCAGCTCGAATGAATCGAGAGGCTGGCCATCCCGCTTGCTGAGGATTACTCGAATAAAACGCGCCGTGAAACCTAACATTTCTAGCTCGTTTTTAATTATAATTTGGCTTGTGGAATGGTGGAGCTGGCGGATGATGACCCTAAGGCCACGGTCATGCTTGTGCTGGTGTGTGAAATGGCCGCCAAGTGTATCCCCGTCACCCAGGATCGCCATAATGGCGTCCCTAGAGGCCATATCTTTTGCCTGTATACGGATCCCATTTCGGCTGATGAGCTTCGTTGTATAGTTGGAATTACCCACCCTTGGATCATCGCGCAGCAGGTCCAGCAGTGGCATAATATTTGGTACTGCTGGCAGGATTATGGGTGGGGGGATTGGTTGCTGGTTCTGCCGCTGCATCTCCAGAAGCTGCCTGGCAGTGGGAGCGTGGAGGCTGGAGGGCAAATGCAAGCTCACGGCTGCACCCATGGGAGCTCTGTCACTGTTCATGCTGCTGCTGCTGTTGTTGTTGTTTTTGCTTTTGCTGTTGCTGCTGGCATTGTTCGCCCCACAATTGGCTGCATTTGCGGGGGTGTGGGGGCGATTTAATTGGGCACCTGTAGCTAGAGCTGGAGCAGAGGCATGGGCATTTGAGGGGGCAGAGACAGGGGCATTATTAGGCATTGGCTTCGTTTTGTTTCTTGCCTGTAATTGTTGCTGTAATAACAGCTGTTGGCGTGGCCGTCGCTTGGCAGTGGCATTGTTGTCCTCCTCATCATCAGCATCTCGATCGACAGCCATAGTGTCGCCGTGCTCATCATAATCGTCGTCATCTTCTTCTTCATCGACGTCAGCATGGGAGCGCTTTAATGGAGAGCGGGCGGCTCGTTTGGCTGCCGCTGCCGCCGAGGTGGATGGCTGGTCCGAGTTGGCTGTCATTATTCTTGTTGCTGTAGTGATGGTGGTTTTGGCTAGTGTTCTTGTTGTATGTGCTGCTGCTGCTGCTGCTGTAGTCTGCTGCTGCTGCTGTTGTTGCTGTTGTTGGTGGTGATCGATGGGGCCAGATAGCAGAGCAGTTAACAGACTATGTCTGGCTGCTGCTGTTAACGGCTGCATCGCTGTTGTATTGGCGAGGGGCGCTATAGCTGCTGCTAATGCTAACGCTGCTGTTGTTGCTGTCGCTGCCGTCCCAAGCGATGATCGAGCCGAGTTCGAACCAACATTTTGGTTCGATGTTGGCTCTCTCTCGTTTGCTGGCTCTCTCGTCGTCCGCTGTTGCTGCTCACAAGGCTGAAGTTGGAGCCTCGCATTTGCACAGCCTTCTCTCGCTCCTTGCCATTTCCGGCGCTCTCCACACTTGGCGGCTTCGGCAAGCGGGACTTTGCCATCGTCACCGTTGCTTATGCCGGTATTGGTGTGTGTAGTGTGAGAGGGAGGCGGTGATAAATGCATTTTTGGCGCAAATGCAGGCGCTTGGCTTGGCTTCGCTTGGGATAGCGGTGCCTTGGCACGGGCTGACGCCTCGGCCGCTGCCGCCGCAGCCATAGCCTCCAGGCCGAGATGACTGGGGCTGCTTCTGCCGCTGCTAATGCTTATGATGCTGTTGTTGGCGCTGATGCGGGCAATGGGGGCGATTTGCAGCGGGCTTGTGACCGGAGTGTTGGTCACCGTGGTCTCCATGGCCAGTTTAGCGGAGACCAGGTCCTCAGTCCATATTGGATCCACTGCGTCCATCTGGGTGGACGCAATGGAGGATGCACTGGTCATGGTGTCACCATCGTCCTCCGGCATGGAACCGGCTGCACCAGGGTAATCCCTGGCTGCGTCTCTTTCAACTCGTCTGCGTCGCAGATGTTGTTGTTGCTGCTGGTGGTGGCCATGGCCTCGTCGGGAAGTGGATTTTCGGGGCATTTTATTATAATCGGATTGGATTTTATTAGATTTTGTCGTCTGCGATTATTAGTCAAATTTATTGGGGGTTCTTGCGCGTCGCGTCTGCAGTGTGTGTGTCTTTTAAATTCACTTTTATATATGTCGTTTTATGTATTGGCTTTTTTTTTTTTTTTCAGTAATGTCTCTCTTTATTTATTTCGTTTTCCTTTCTTTTTTCTTTTTTTCTCTTATTTTCTAGCAAACTTGATGTAATTTTATTTACACGGAAATTATTATTATTAAATTAAACTTGGCGTGACACGGTGTTTGGGGCTTGGACCAGACTCTAATGAGGACGCGACACATCAAGCGACAAGGAATTACAACAAGCTACTACGAATAAGGAGGAAAAAGGAGACAGTTAAATTGCCCGCAAAAGGCTATGCCTATCGATAAGTTTCGACTTTGCATAGCTGGAAAAATGTATTCAAATTCAATTATTTTTTTGGCGGTATTGCGGACTTCGTGTGTTGTTCGACCCCTTCCTTACCCTTGCCACCTGCTGAGGGCAGGTGACTAGGGATGCAGCATAGGTGCATGTGGGTCGGGCAATATATAGGGGACGGTACTGGCATATGCAACAACACAAAAACATATTTGGCACTAATATGGGACAAAAACAGTACAGAAAAATTCCACATATTAGGCCGTAACGGCTGGCGGCAATTTGCCTGCCAAAGTCCGAAATATATATATTTTTCAGACAATGGCAGGCAAACTGCCGCGCAATACAAATTTGCCAACAAATATTGGCAGTTTTTAATGGCAAGTGCAAACAGAGTAATTCACTCTTAAATTTGATTTCGATTTTCTTCCAGGGCTGGCGTAAGCCCTCTTTGAACAAGGGCTAATTGCAAGGTGTGTACAAGGACAAGGTGGGTACATATCTAAATGGTTTACATTCACAATAAGCCGCGTTCCGCACAGCGAAAACACTTTGTCAGGTAAGTAATGGTATTTAAATATAAAACAAGATTATAAATGGACTGCACGGCTTGGAGTGGACAGAAAAGGTAAGTACACGTAATGGAAACACAAGCGCATGCAAATGGACAGTATTGGGGACAACTACTATTTACAGAAACTACAATAGCAAAATTACACACATACAACAGAGTGCAAAACAAGACAATACAGATATAAAACTGAGCTACATTTAACAAGACATTAAACGTGACAATTTAAATAACAAATACAGTCAAGTTACTATTACATGTGATATAATTCTAATTATAATTATCTTAATTAACTATTTTCAGAGGAGACGGACAACAACAAAGCATCGGCCGGCATAACAAACAAACTTATGTTTGTACACAATGCACATATGGGCATTGTGTTGCATGCCGGCCAACTCTGCCGTCCCCCCCCCTGGTCGTCATAAATGGATGGAATCACCCGCAAGTGTAATGGAAGGTAAGTAAATATAATATTTTGCGGATGATTCTTACTAACTATTTTATTTCTAGTGCCGTCGTCAGAGTGGATTTTGCTGCTGCTGCTGCTGCTGCTGATGATGGATTCTGGCTGCTGTAGATGGCTGATTCTGCTGGCTGCTGGTAATGGCTGCCCCTACAGGGGGCACCAGTGGCGCTGGTCCGGCCACCGGCCAGTCTCGGCGTGGATACACACTCGCACACATTTGCAACCGCAGCGACTCAGGTCCGGCCGCCTAGATGGTGCTCGAATTGGCGTGTGTGTGTGTGTGTGTGTGTGTGTGTATTTGGTGTGCCTTTGGACGGACCGTCCAAAATTGTCTCACTTGACCATGATACAGCGGCTCTGGTCCGGCCGCCTACAGGTAAGTGTGTGTATGTGTTGTTTAATGTGTTTTCTTTACAGGTTTTCTGCTGGGGCTGCGTCGTCGAGATATGGCTGACCACGCCATCAACCAATACACTCTCCATGGACCAGAGGAGTGTATTGAATTGGAGAGGATGATGGCGTGTGGATTTGCAGTGGGCGTGGCATGTTTGCGCGCCCATTGTCCAGCACACGACAAGCAACAAGCGGCTGCTGGTCCGGCCGCCTGTAAATAAGTGCGTGTTTTTGTAGTTTGTTGATTTTTGCATCTATTTTCTTTTAATTTATATTTATTTATTCCAGATTTGGATGCTGATTGCTGGTTGCTGAGTATGTGTATTTGTTGTTTTATGTTTTTATTTATTACTTTTTTAATTGATCCTCTTTTATTTCAGGTTTTTCTGCAGAGGAAATGGACGTCCGTATTTTCATCCAGCGCACTCTCCTTGGACCAGTGGGAAGTGTCTCGGCTTGGAGAGGATGTAGGCGTAGAGATTGCGGAGGGCGTGGCAACGGGCCGACCGGCCCCGCCGGTAAGTGTGTGTATTTGTTAACAATTGTTTTAATTATTCTTTTTATATTGTAGATTGTCTGCAATGGCTGCGTCGTCGATCTGTGTCCACTCACACCAAAATCCACACTTGACCAGAAGAAAGTCCACGCTTGAGGATGAAGGCGTCAAGATTTGTAGGGGGTGTGGCATGTTGGCGCGCGCCCCGTGTCCAGCACACGACAGGCAGCAAGCGGCTGCTGATCCGGCCACCTGTATGTAAGTGCGTGTTTTTGTTATTTGTTGATGTTTGCATCTTCTTTTAATTGCTGTATTTTATTTCAGATTTCTGATTTCTCTGCAGAGGCTACGTCGTCGATGTGAGTTTGGATTCTGTTGCTGCTGCTGGTTGCCCACCTGGGGGCACCATATGATCGTCGGTGAGCCGCAGCTAATTGGAATTGGATGCTGTTGCTGCTGCTGGTTGCCGGCCGCTTTTATTTCAGGGATCTCTGCCGAGGCTACGTCGTCGATGGATGTGGGCCACGCCATCTACTAGTACACTCTCCATGGACCAGAGGAGTGTTTTTGATTGGAGCGGATGAGCGGCGTGCGGATTTGCGGGGGGCGTGGCATGGTAAGGCGGCCCGAGTCCATCCCTAGACTAGGTGCAAACGGCTGCTGGTCCGGCCGCCTGCAGGTAAGTGTGTGTATTTGCTGTTTTATATTTTTGTACATTACTTTAATTGTTTCTTTTTTTTAATTTCAGATTTGCAGCAGGGGCTGCGTCGTCAATTGATGGCTGCTCTCGGCATCATCCAAAGCACTTTCCTTGCACCAGAAGGATGTGTTTGGCCATTGGGAGGATGAAGGCGATGAAGGCGAGAATATTGCGGAGGGCGTGGCATATTTGCGCGCCCCGAGTCCAACACTAGGCCAAATTCAAGCGGCTTCTGGTCCGGCCGCCTGCAGATGAGTGTTTTTGTTCATTTTTTGTTTGTATATTTTCTTTTAATTGATCCTCTTTATTTTCAGATTTCACTGCAGAGGCTGCGTCGTCGCTAAGGATTGGATGCTATTGCTGCTGCTGGTTGCCAACCGCCTGCAGGTAAGTGGGATTATTTGTTGATTTATGTTTTTTCTTATTGTTTTAATTATTTCTTTTTAATTCCAGATTTGCAGCAGGAGCTGCATCGTCGATTAATGGCATCCAAATCACGTTCCTTGCACCAGCAGGATGTGTATTTGGCTTGGAGATGGTGAAGGCGTGGAAATTTGCGGAGGGCGTGGCATTTTTTGGACGCCCGTGTCGACACTCGACCATAAACAAACGGCTTCTGGTCCGGCCGCCTGCAGATGAGTGTTTTGATGGATTATTGTTTTAATTTTTTGTTTTTAATTGCTCTTTTTATATTGTAGATTGTCTGTAGTGGCTGCTTCGTCAATTTGTGGATGTACACGCTTTCATCTTACCTCTCTCCTTGGACCAGGAGGAGGGTGTGAAATTGAAGAAGATGATTGCGTGGGGCAAGGCTGCTACTGCAGTTATTGGCTGCCCTCTTAGGAGAACCATTTGGCAATGTTTTGGTCACTTCCTGGCATTCATTGGGCCCAAGGGTGAGTAAATTTGTGTGTGATTTTATGGGCTATTAATTATGTGTTCATTTTGTAGGTCAGTCCAAAATTGATGTGGCTGGAGTGTGGACAGCTGGCTCCTCAGTTGTACCCCTCCCATGACACTAGGTTGTCAAGCTGGTACCTCAGGTTCCGGCGGTACGCTTCAACGTGGTTTAAGGAGTCATCTGTCCACATTTCGTCCCCGTCATCTTCCATCTCATCGCTTTCTGGCTCTGGTTCTGGTGCAGGGTCGAAGATGTAGGTGCGCGGCGGCACCTGTTCCTCGCTTGAACGCTGCAATGGATGAGGAGAGGATATTCCCCTCACAGGTTCCGGTGTCGCTGGAGACTCTGATGTTATTGCTGCTGCATATGATTGTGGTGGCGCTGCTGTTGCAGCTGCTGGTGCTAATGCTGCTTCTGCTGGCGGAGTCTGGAGATGAATTAGTCGGGTGAGTACGTTCAATACTTCCTCCATTCGAGACTCTAATTTCTCCAATCTTTTTGCGCTCTCTGCTAACGCCTGGCTGCATGATCTATGGGGCTGAATTGGCTCGGATTGGCGTTGGTGCTGCTGTAACTGACGTCTGGAGAATGGATTGGCGGCCTGCTGCTGCTGCTGTTGCTGTTGCCGGCCCTGGCGCTGCGTCTGATGTGGCTGCTGCTGCTGATGCAGATGGCGTTGTCGTCGTCTGTCAGCTGGAGTAGCTGGCGTCTGAATTGGCGTTTGGGCTGGCGTGTTTAGTGGCTGCTGCTGCTGTCGTCGTCTGAGCCTGGGATCGGCTGGCGTCAATATTGGCTGCTGCTGCTGCTGCTGTTGGCGTCTGCGAGGATTGGCTGGCGTCTGGACTTGCTGCTGCTGCCGTCGCCTTGGAATTGCTGTTGCTGATGGCTGTTGGAGTTGCTGCTGCTGCCATTGCTGCTGCTTGTGTTGCACAAGCACGTCGTTTTTGCGTCGCAACTCCTGATTCGTCACCCTGTGAGACAGGAGACGGCCCCTGGCTGCCTTAAAGGCTGGGCATCCCTTGTAGGCGCTGATGTGGCTGCCCTGGCAATTGGCACATTTTGGAGCCTCGGACCGAGGCTTGGCGCAGCTGGTGGTCATGTGCGCGCCCGCACATTTCATGCAAACGAAGGCGCGTCTGCAATATGTGCGGGTGTGTCCAAATGCCTGGCATCGGTGGCATTGTGCGGGATCAACTGGCTTGGCCTGCCTCACCACGGAGACCAACTGATTGCCTAAAGTGGTCAGCTGGAGGATGTCAAGATGGCTGCTGTCCGATTTGGGGGCTACTTCCAGCTCGAATGAATCGAGAGGCTGGCCATCCCGCTTGCTGAGAATTACTCGAATAAAACGCGCCGTGAAACCTAACATTTCTAGCTCGTTTTTAATTATAATTTGGCTTGTGGAATGGTGGAGCTGGCGGATGATGACCCTAAGGCCACGGTCATGCTTGTGCTGGTGTGTGAAATGGCCGCCAAGTGTATCCCCGTCACCCAGGATCGCCATAATGGCGTCCCTAGAGGCCATATCTTTTGCCTGTATACGGATCCCATTTCGGCTGATGAGCTTCGTTGTATAGTTGGAATTACCCACCCTTGGATCATCGCGCAGCAGGTCCAGCAGTGGCATAATATTTGGTACTGCTGGCAGGATTATGGGTGGGGGGATTGGTTGCTGGTTCTGCCGCTGCATCTCCAGAAGCTGCCTGGCAGTGGGAGCGTGGAGGCTGGAGGGCAAATGCAAGCTCACGGCTGCACCCATGGGAGCTCTGTCACTGTTCATGCTGCTGCTGCTGTTGTTGTTGTTTTTGCTTTTGCTGTTGCTGCTGGCATTGTTCGCCCCACAATTGGCTGCATTTGCGGGGGTGTGGGGGCGATTTAATTGGGCACCTGTAGCTAGAGCTGGAGCAGAGGCATGGGCATTTGAGGGGGCAGAGACAGGGGCATTATTTGGCATTGGCTTCGTTTTGTTTCTTGCCTGTAATTGTTGCTGTAATAACAGCTGTTGGCGTGGCCGTCGCTTGGCAGTGGCATTGTTGTCCTCCTCATCATCAGCATCTCGATCGACAGCCATAGTGTCGCCGTGCTCATCATAATCGTCGTCATCTTCTTCTTCATCGACGTCAGCATGGGAGCGCTTTAATGGAGAGCGGGCGGCTCTTTTGGCTGCCGCTGCCGCAGAGGTGGATGGCTGGTCCGAGTTGGCTGTCATTATTCTTGTTGCTGCAGTGATGGTGGTTTTGGCTAGTGTTTTTGTTGTATGTGCTGCTGCTGCTGCTGCTGTCTGCTGCTGCTGCTGCTGCTGTTGTTGCTGTTGTTGTTGGTGGTGATCGACGGGGCCAGATAGCAGAGCAGTTAACAGACTATGTCTGGCTGCTGCTGTTAACGGCTGCATCGCTGTTGTATTGGCGAGGGGCGCTATAGCTGCTGCTAATGCTAACGCTGCTGTTGTTGCTGTCGCTGCCGTCCCAAGCGATGATCGAGCCGAGTTCGAACCAACATTTTGGTTCGATGTTGGCTCTCTCTCGTTTGCTGGCTCTCTCGTCGTCCGCTGTTGCTGCTCACAAGGCTGAAGTTGGAGCCTCGCATTTGCACAGCCTTCTCTCGCTCCTTGCCATTTCCGGCGCTCTCCACACTTGGCGGCTTCGGCAAGCGGGACTTTGCCATCGTCACCGTTGCTTATGCCGGTATTGGTGTGTGTAGTGTGAGAGGGAGGCGGTGATAAATGCATTTTTGGCGCAAATGCAGGCGCTTGGCTTGGCTTCGCTTGGGATAGCGGTGCCTTGGCACGGGCTGACGCCTCGGCCGCTGCCGCCGCAGCCATAGCCTCCAGGCCGAGATGTCTGGGGCTGCTTCTGCCGCTGCTAATGCTTATGATGCTGTTGTTGGCGCTGATGCGGGCAATGGGGGCGATTTGCAGCGGGCTTGTGACCGGAGTGTTGGTCACCGTGGTCTCCATGGCCAGTTTAGCGGAGACCAGGTCCTCAGTCCATATTGGATCCACTGCGTCCATCTGGGTGGACGCAATGGAGGATGCACTGGTCATGGTGTCACCATCGTCTTCCGGCATGGAACTGGCTGCACCAGGGTAATCCCTGGCTGCGTCTCTTTCAACTCGTCTGCGTCGCAGATGTTGTTGTTGCTGCTGGTGGTGGCCATGGCCTCGTCGGGAAGTGGATTTTCGGGGCATTTTATTATAATCGGATTGGATTTTATTAGATTTTGTCGTCTGCGATTATTAGTCAAATTTATTGGGGGTTCTTGCGCGTCGCGTCTGCAGTGTGTGTGTCTTTTAAATTCACTTTTATATATGTCGTTTTATGTATTGGCTTTTTCTTTTTTTTTTTTCAGTAATGTCTCTCTTTATTTATTTCGTTTTCCTTTCTTTTTTCTTATTTTCTAGCAAACTTGATGTAATTTTATTTACACGGAAATTATTATTATTAAATTAAACTTGGCGTGACACGGTGTTTGGGGCTTGGACCAGACTCTAATGAGGACGCGACACATCAAGCGACAAGGAATTACAACAAGCTACTACGAATAAGGAGGAAAAAGGAGACAGTTAAATTGCCCGCAAAAGGCTATGCTTATCGATAAGTTTCGACTTTGCATAGCTGGAAAAATGTATTTAAATTCAATTGCTTTGGCGGTATTGCGGACTTCGTGTGTTGTTCGACCCCTTCCTTACCCTTGCCACCTGCTGAGGGCAGGTGACTAGGGATGCAGCATAGGTGCATGTGGGTCGGGCAATATATAGGGGACGGTACTGGCATATGCAACAACACAAAAACATATTTGGCACTAATATGGGACAAAAACAGTACAGAAAAATTCCACATATTAGGCCGTAACGGCTGGCGGCAATTTGCCTGCCAAAGTCCGAAATATATATATTTTCCAGACAATGGCAGGCAAACTGCCGCGCAATACAAATTTGCCAACAAATATTGGCAGTTTTTAATGGCAAGTGCAAACAGAGTAATTCACTCTTAAATTTGATTTCGATTTTCTTCCAGGGCTGGCGTAAGCCCTCTTTGAACAAGGGCTAATTGCAAGGTGTGTACAAGGAAAAGGTGGGTACATATCTAAATGGTTTACATTCACAATAAGCCGCGTTCCGCACAGCGAAAACACTTTGTCAGGTAAGTAATGGTATTTAAATATAAAACAAGATTATAGATGGACTGCACGGCTTGGAGTGGACAGAAAAGGTAAGTACACGTAATGGAAACACAAGCGCATGCAAATGGACAGTATTGGGGACAACTACTATTTACAGAAACTACAATAGCAAAATTACACACATACAACAGAGTGCAAAACAAGACAATACAGATATAAAACTGAGCTACATTTAACAAGACATTAAACGTGACAATTTAAATAACAAATACAGTCAAGTTACTATTACATGTGATATAATTCTAATTATAATTATCTTAATTAACTATTTTCAGAGGAGACGGACAACAACAAAGCATCGGCCGGCATAACAAACAAACTTATGTTTGTACACAATGCACATATGGGCATTGTGTTGCATGCCGGCCAACTCTGCCGTCCCCCCCCCCCTGGTCGTCATAAATGGATGGAATCACCCGCAAGTGTAATGGAAGGTAAGTAAATATAATATTTTGCGGATGATTCTTACTAACTATTTTATTTCTAGTGCCGTCGTCAGAGTGGATTTTGCTGCTGCTGCTGCTGATGATGGATTCTGGCTGCTGTAGATGGCTGATTCTGCTGGCTGCTGGTAATGGCTGCCCCTACAGGGGGCACCAGTGGCGCTGGTCCGGCCACCGGCCAGTCTCGGCGTGGATACACACTCGCACACATTTGCAACCGCAGCGACTCAGGTCCGGCCGCCTAGATGGTGCTCGAATTGGCGTGTGTGTGTGTGTGTGTGTGTGTATTTGGTGTGCCTTTGGACGGACCGTCCAAAATTGTCTCACTTGACCATGATACAGCGGCTCTGGTCCGGCCGCCTACAGGTAAGTGTGTGTATGTGTTGTTTAATGTGTTTTCTTTACAGGTTTTCTGCTGGGGCTGCGTCGTCGAGATATGGCTGACCACGCCATCAACCAATACACTCTCCATGGACCAGAGGAGTGCATTGAATTGGAGAGGATGATGGCGTGTGGATTTGCAGTGGGCGTGGCATGTTTGCGCGCCCATTGTCCAGCACACGACAAGCAACAAGCGGCTGCTGGTCCGGCCGCCTGTAAATAAGTGCGTGTTTTTGTAGTTTGTTGATTTTTGCATCTATTTTCTTTTAATTTATATTTATTTATTCCAGATTTGGATGCTGATTGCTGGTTGCTGAGTATGTGTATTTGTTGTTTTATGTTTTTATTTATTACTTTTTTAATTGATCCTCTTTTATTTCAGGTTTTTCTGCAGAGGAAATGGACGTCCGTATTTTCATCCAGCGCACTCTCCTTGGACCAGTGGGAAGTGTCTCGGCTTGGAGAGGATGTAGGCGTAGAGATTGCGGAGGGCGTGGCAATCGGCTGCCGATCCGGCCTCCTGCCGGTAAGTGTGTGTATTTGTTAACAATTGTTTTAATTATTCTTTTTATATTGTAGATTGTCTGCAATGGCTGCGTCTTCGATCTGTGTCCACTCACACCAAAATCCACCCTTGACCAGAAGAAAGTCCACGCTTGAGGATGAAGGCGTCAAGATTTGTAGGGGGTGTGGCATGTTGGCGCGCGCCCCGTGTCCAGCACACGACAGGCAGCAAGCGGCTGCTGATCCGGCCGCCTGTATGTAAGTGCGTGTTTTTGTTATTTGTTGATGTTTGCATCTTCTTTTAATTGCTGTATTTTATTTCAGATTTCTGATTTCTCTGCAGAGGCTACGTCGTCGATGTGAGTTTGGATTCTGTTGCTGCTGCTGGTTGCCGGCCGCTTTTATTTCAGGGATCTCTGCCGAGGCTACGTCGTCGATGGATGTGGGCCACGCCATCTACTAGTACACTCTCCATGGACCAGAGGAGTGTTTTTGATTGGAGCGGATGAGCGGCGTGCGGATTTGCGGGGGGCGTGGCATGGTAAGGCGGCCCGAGTCCATCCCTAGACTAGGTGCAAACGGCTGCTGGTCCGGCCGCCTGCAGGTAAGTGTGTGTATTTGCTGTTTTATATTTTTGTACATTACTTTAATTGTTTCTTTTTTTTTAATTTCAGATTTGCAGCAGGGGCTGCGTCGTCAATTGATGGCTGCTCTCGGCATCATCCAAAGCACTTTCCTTGCACCAGAAGGATGTGTTTGGCCATTGGGAGGATGAAGGCGATGAAGGCGAGAATATTGCGGAGGGCGTGGCATATTTGCGCGCCCCGAGTCCAACACTAGGCCAAATTCAAGCGGCTTCTGGTCCGGCCGCCTGCAGATGAGTGTTTTTGTTCATTTTTTGTTTGTATATTTTCTTTTAATTGATCCTCTTTATTTTCAGATTTCACTGCAGAGGCTGCGTCGTCGCTAAGGATTGGATGCTATTGCTGCTGCTGGTTGCCAACCGCCTGCAGGTAAGTGAGATTATTTGTTGATTTATGTTTTTGCTTATTGTTTTAATTATTTCTTTTTAATTCCAGATTTGCAGCAGGAGCTGCATCGTCGATTAATGGCATCCAAATCACGTTCCTTGCACCAGCAGGATGTGTATTTGGCTTGGAGATGGTGAAGGCGTGGAAATTTACGGAGGGCGTGGCATTTTTTGGACGCCCAGAGTCAACACTCGACCATAAACAAACGGCTTCTGGTCCGGCCGCCTGCAGATGAGTGTTTTGATGGATTATTGTTTTAATTTTTTGTTTTTAATTGCTCTTTTTATATTGTAGATTGTCTGTAGTGGCTGCTTCGTCAATTTGTGGATTCACACGCTTTCATCCTACCTCTCTCCTTGGACCAGGAGGAGAGTGTGAAATTAAAGAAGATGATTGCTTGGGGCAAGGCTGCTACTGCAGTTATTGGCTGCCCTCTTAGGAGAACCATTTGGCAATGTTTTGGTCACTTCCTGGCATTCATTGGGCCCAAGGGTGAGTAAATTTGTGTGTGATTTTATGGGCTATTAATTATGTGTTCATTTTGTAGGTCAGTCCAAAATTGATGTGGCTGGAGTGTGGACAGCTGGCTCCTCAGTTGTACCCCTCCCATGACACTAGGTTGTCAAGCTGGTACCTCAGGTTCCGGCGGTACGCTTCAACGTGGTTTAAGGAGTCATCTGTCCACATTTCGTCCCCGTCATCTTCCATCTCATCGCTTTCTGGCTCTGGTTCTGGTGCAGGGTCGAAGATGTAGGTGCGCGGCGGCACCTGTTCCTCGCTTGAACGCTGCAATGGATGAGGAGAGGATATTCCCCTCACAGGTTCCGGTGTCGCTGGAGACTCTGATGTTATTGCTGCTGCATATGATTGTGGTGGCGCTGCTGTTGCAGCTGCTGGTGCTAATGCTGCTTCTGCTGGCGGAGTCTGGAGATGAATTAGTCGGGTGAGTACGTTCAATACTTCCTCCATTCGAGACTCTAATTTCTCCAATCTTTTTGCGCTCTCTGCTAACGCCTGGCTGCATGATCTATGGGGCTGAATTGGCTCGGATTGGCGTTGGTGCTGCTGTAACTGACGTCTGGAGAATGGATTGGCGGCCTGCTGCTGCTGCTGTTGCTGTTGCCGGCCCTGGCGCTGCGTCTGATGTGGCTGCTGCTGCTGATGCAGATGGCGTTGTCGTCGTCTGTCAGCTGGAGTAGCTGGCGTCTGAATTGGCGTTTGGGCTGGCGTGTTTAGTGGCTGCTGCTGCTGTCGTCGTCTGAGCCTGGGATCGGCTGGCGTCGATATTGGCTGCTGCTGCTGCTGCTGTTGGCGTCTGCGAGGATTGGCTGGCGTCTGGACTTGCTGCTGCTGCCGTCGCATTGGAATTGCTGTTGCTGATGGCTGTTGGAGTTGCTGCTGCTGCCATTGCTGCTGCTTGTGTTGCACAAGCACGTCGTTTTTGCGTCGCAACTCCTGATTCGTCACCCTGTGAGACAGGAGACGGCCCCTGGCTGCCTTAAAGGCTGGGCATCCCTTGTAGGCGCTGATGTGGCTGCCCTGGCAATTGGCACATTTTGGAGCCTCGGACCGAGGCTTGGCGCAGCTGGTGGTCATGTGCGCGCCCGCACATTTCATGCAAACGAAGGCGCGTCTGCAATATGTGCGGGTGTGTCCAAATGCCTGGCATCGGTGGCATTGTGCGGGATCAACTGGCTTGGCCTGCCTCACCACGGAGACCAACTGATTGCCTAAAGTGGTCAGCTGGAGGATGTCAAGATGGCTGCTGTCCGATTTGGGGGCTACTTCCAGCTCGAATGAATCGAGAGGCTGGCCATCCCGCTTGCTGAGAATTACTCGAATAAAACGCGCCGTGAAACCTAACATTTCTAGCTCGTTTTTAATTATAATTTGGCTTGTGGAATGGTGGAGCTGGCGGATGATGACCCTAAGGCCACGGTCATGCTTGTGCTGGTGTGTGAAATGGCCGCCAAGTGTATCCCCGTCACCCAGGATCGCCATAATGGCGTCCCTAGAGGCCATATCTTTTGCCTGTATACGGATCCCATTTCGGCTGATGAGCTTCGTTGTATAGTTGGAATTACCCACCCTTGGATCATCGCGCAGCAGGTCCAGCAGTGGCATAATATTTGGTACTGCTGGCAGGATTATGGGTGGGGGGATTGGTTGCTGGTTCTGCCGCTGCATCTCCAGAAGCTGCCTGGCAGTGGGAGCGTGGAGGCTGGAGGGCAAATGCAAGCTCACGGCTGCACCCATGGGAGCTCTGTCACTGTTCATGCTGCTGCTGCTGTTGTTGTTGTTTTTGCTTTTGCTGTTGCTGCTGGCATTGTTCGCCCCACAATTGGCTGCATTTGCGGGGGTGTGGGGGCGATTTAATTGGGCACCTGTAGCTAGAGCTGGAGCAGAGGCATGGGCATTTGAGGGGGCAGAGACAGGGGCATTATTTGGCATTGGCTTCGTTTTGTTTCTTGCCTGTAATTGTTGCTGTAAAAACAGCTGTTGGCTTGGCCGTCGCTTGGCAGTGGCATTGTTGTCCTCCTCCTCATCATCAGCATCTCGATCGACAGCCATAGTGTCGCCGTGCTCATCATAATCGTCGTCATCTTCTTCTTCATCGACGTCAGCATGGGAGCGCTTTAATGGAGAGCGGGCGGCTCGTTTGGCTGCCGCTGCCGCCGAGGTGGATGGCTGGTCCGAGTTGGCTTTCATTATTCTTGTTGCTGTAGTGATGGTGGTTTTGGCTAGTGTTCTTGTTGTATGTGCTGCTGCTGCTGCTGCTGTAGTCTGCTGCTGCTGCTGATGCTGTTGTTGCTGTTGTTGGTGGTGATCGACGGGGCCAGATAGCAGAGCAGTTAACAGACTATGTCTGGCTGCTGCTGTTAACGGCTGCATCGCTGTTGTATTGGCGAGGGGCGCTATAGCTGCTGCTAATGCTAACGCTGCTGTTGTTGCTGTCGCTGCCGTCCCAAGCGATGATCGAGCCGAGTTCGAACCAAAATTTTGGTTCGATGTTGGCTCTCTCTCGTTTGCTGGCTCTCTCGTCGTCCGCTGTTGCTGCTCACAAAGCTGAAGTTGGAGCCTCGCATTTGCACAGCCTTCTCTCGCTCCTTGCCATTTCCGGCGCTCTCCACACTTGGCGGCTTCGGCAAGCGGGACTTTGCCATCGTCACCGTTGCTTATGCCGGTATTGGTGTGTGTAGTGTGAGAGGGAGGCGGTGATAAATGCATTTTTGGCGCAAATGCAGGCGCTTGGCTTGGCTTCGCTTGGGATAGCGGTGCCTTGGCACGGGCTGACGCCTCGGCCGCTGCCGCCGCAGCCATAGCCTCCAGGCCGAGATGTCTGGGGCTGCTTCTACCGCTGCTAATGCTTATGATGCTGTATGTTGGCGCTGATGCGGATGGGGCGATTGAGCGGGGTGACGGAGTGTTGGTCACCGTGGTCCCATGGCCAGTAGCGACCAGGCCAGTCCATATTGGATCCACTGCGTCCATCTGGGTGGACGCAATGGAGGATGCACTGGTCATGGTGTCACCATCGTCTTCCGGCATGGAACTGGCTGCACCAGGGTAATCCCTGGCTGCGTCTCTTTCAACTCGTCTGCGTCGCAGATGTTGTTGTTGCTGCTGGTGGTGGCCATGGCCTCGTCGGGAAGTGGATTTTCGGGGCATTTTATTATAATCGGATTGGATTTTATTAGATTTTGTCGTCTGCGATTATTAGTCAAATTTATTGGGGGTTCTTGCGCGTCGCGTCTGCAGTGTGTGTGTCTTTTAAATTCACTTTTATATATGTCGTTTTATGTATTGGCTTTTTTTTTTTTTTCAGTATTGTCTCTCTTTATTTATTTCGTTTTCCTTTCTTTTTTTCTTATTTTCTAGCAAACTTGATGTAATTTTATTTACACGGAAAATATTATTATTAAATTAAACTTGGCGTGACACGGTGTTGGGGCTTGGACCAGACTCTAATGAGGACGCGACACATCAAGCGACAAGGAATTACAACAAGCTACTACGAATAAGGAGGAAAAAGGAGACAGTTAAATTGCCCGCAAAAGGCTATGCCTATCGATAAGTTTCGACTTTGCATAGCTGGAAAAATGTATTTAAATTCAATTGCTTTGGCGGTATTGCGGACTTCGTGTGTTGTTCGACCCCTTCCTTACCCTTGCCACCTGCTGAGGGCAGGTGACTAGGGATGCAGCATAGGTGCATGTGGGTCGGGCAATATATAGGGGACGGTACTGGCATATGCAACAACACAAAAACATATTTGGCACTAATATGGGACAAAAACAGTACAGAAAAATTCCACATATTAGGCCGTAACGGCTGGCGGCAATTTGCCTGCCAAAGTCCGAAATATATATATTTTTCAGACAATGGCAGGCAAACTGCCGCGCAATACAAATTTGCCAACAAATATTGGCAGTTTTTAATGGCAAGTGCAAACAGAGTAATTCACTCTTAAATTTGATTTCGATTTTCTTCCAGGGCTGGCGTAAGCCCTCTTTGAACCAGGGCTAATTGCAAGGTGTGTACAAGGACAAGGTGGGTACATTTCTAAATGGTTTACATTCACAATAAG